GAACCATATCAAACTCAAAATCAACTTATAATGTTCGTTTTGGTATTATTTGGATTGTCTTTGGCTTACGACATGTATGGGGTTCCTCCAGAAGAAGGGTCTACTATTGCCACAAACGAGTTGTATGACCGGACTAAATGCACAACATGTTGCAGGATTAATATTGCGTCTGGATACAACTATGACTATAACCGTGGCTTCACGGAAGATGACTACGTTAAAGGAAAAGGGAGAATATTTACTTTTGACTTTGAGTTCGACAATGTTAACGAACTAAGATGTGCATGGAACCCCCTATAACCAAACGATCATGCTCAGACCACTCAACACAACACGAGATTTCCAGCTCTTTGAGTTTTCTGCTTATAAGATGTTCACATCATTTGTATACCCAAGACGTGTTTTTGATGTCAGAAACTTTGTTGTGAAAGGACATGTATTGATCATTTGGAGAAAGAATCCACCACTCTCAGACGCTCCAGGTACAAACAATCAATAATTTGTTTATGCATTCCCTTATGAAAATAGTTATTACATCGCTGCTTTTGAAAAGAGATGGGTTCTTTATCCAAGACACTTTTTCTTGCCTTATTATGAAACAAGTCCATACTGTTATGAAGGAAGTCAAAGGGGTGAATTCTTCGATTGGCCAGCAGAGAGTCAAATGAGAAATGTACCAGACTGTTTCCAAATAAAAGCGTGGCCGTGCAGCACAGCAGAACCCTAACGAATATTCATTCCTATTTATGCCTAATTTTTACATTTTTGTTTTGATGGTGTTAAATGGAAGTTCTTTCAATCAAAATATTTTTTTAGAAAAATAATGAATAAGTCAAATTATTATTTCAATTTGTAAAACAATGAAATGAATAAGCTTTTTGAATTTGAAAACTTTTTATCTTTAAAAAAACAATTTAAAAAAAGTATACCAAAAATGTTTATGTAGTAAAACATAAAATCGTGATGCGTTCATTTTGTTAATAATAATACAAAAATTCTATTAACTATAATTAATTATATATTTTTAATAAATACAAAAACAAGGAAATCAGTCATTAAATTGTGTCACTCGATGTTGTAAACAAATCTCACGTACTCATGTATTTCAATCAATTTGAAGATGTTAAAGCGTTTTCTTTTGTATCTCATACATCACGAGAAGCGTTGTGTCAAATTACTGAAAATCCAGTTTTGGACGAAATGATCATACCTAACAAAGTTCCTCTTTCTAAGTTGAACATCATTTTTTTCTCTTAAAACACTTAATTGCTCACTTGTTTACCTTTCAACAATAACTTTTAACAACCAAAACGAGACAAATTTGAAGGTGTATTTGTCGAGTCAAATCTCTTTGAAACAACTCAACTTTTTGAATTTGGAACAAATCACTTGTGTTCCACAAAATCTTTCATTTCTTTTACAATTTCCTTTGCCTAAATTATAGTTTGTCAGTCAGTCGACAACTAAAAGTTTAAATGTCATTCGGAAAACTGTAATTTAGAGCCAGTCCTTCTATATCCTAAGTCAGAAAAAAATCATGTGGAAATGATTGACACCGTCGAGGCCTTGTTCTTCGGCAAACAAACTAAAAGCACAAACGCCACATTCGTGTTTGTGATTGTCACGTTCACCCAAGACGTTTCCTAATTGGACAAAACACTTCTTT